TGTTACATATATATATATATATATATATATATATATATATATATATTATATATATATATATATATATATATATATTATATATATATATATATATATATATATATATATATATATATATATATATATATATATATATATTATAATATATATATATATATATATATATATATATATAAAGTGGATAAAAAGGCTTCAAGGAGGAATATTTGGATTTCATATATATACATGTATATATATTATATATATATAATATATATATATATATATATATAATATATATATATATATATATATATTATATATATATATATATAATTACCACATAGACTAAAAAAAAAGAAAATATTCACCATCATTCATTCAATAGGTGTCTAGCCAGAAGTTTGCCAACTTCACAACAACCCTCTGAACCACAACATTACACCCCTCCATAAGAGCACAGCACTTACCACCTCCAGGACTCAAGTCTGGCTAATCAGTTTTCCACGAATCCCTTCCTATATGTTATCATGCTCACACTCCAGCAACACGTCAAATCCCTGAAACTGCTTGTTTTAACTCAGATCCCGCTTTAACACCCACATACAAAAGATGTTTCGCCACGGTAAACGTACATTACTCTCTTAATATAAATCCTAAACAGAACATTTAACAATAAACTCAAAGTATGTATGTATGTGTCTATCTATGTATATAGACAGGTAGATATAGATAGATAAGAGAATATTTCTCACAATATTTCGTCTCAATCTTTCAAGAAAAAAATATATAACACGTTTAACATTAATGTCGGTTAAGACTACAGTAACTTAACTCAGAATGTTTAAGCTTAAGTATGTCTTTTATTATTCAGTAGTAAATACAAGTCTACATTAAGAGTTATTCATCAAAATCAAGGAAAGGTAATCAGGGTTGATTCTAGAAAGAGGGAAGCTCTAAATCCTTGAATCAAGAGCTCTTCACCGGCATCAAGGCACTTGACTTTGAAGGCTGTATGTACACTAGTTCCCAGTAGACTGACACCTTTCCTACCTCACCTGGCACCTCACACCTCACCTGGCACCTCACACCTCACCTGGCACCTCACACCTCACCTGGCACCTCACACCTCACCTGGCACCTCACACCTCACCTGGCACACTCACACCTCACCTGGCACCTCACACCTCACCTGGCACCTCACACCTCACCTGGCACCTCACACCTCACCTGGCACCTCACACCTCACCTGGCACCTCACACCTCACCTGGCACCTCACACCTCACCTGCCCCCTCACACCTCACCTGGCTCCTCACACCTCGCCTGACCCTCACACCTCACCTGGCCCCTAACACCTCACCTGGCCCCTAACACCTCACCTGGCCCCTAACACCTCACCTGGCACCTCACCTCCATATAGGTCACGGATTCCAATGTAAAAACTGGATTCCAAAATATCTTAACCTCTCAGCAGCTGTGTTGGCTGGGTGCCACAAAGGTGCCAGCCACCACATGTGGTGCTGGGTGCCACAAAGGTGCCAGCCACCACAGGTGGTGCTGGGTGCCACAAAGGTGCCAGCCACCACATGTGGTGCTGGGTGCCACAAAGGTGCCAGCCACCACAGGTGGTGCTGGGTGCCACAAAGGTGCCAGCCACCACAGGTGGTGCTGAGTGCCACAAAGGTGCCAGCCACCACAGGTGGTGCTGGGTGCCACAAAGGTGCCAGCCACCACAGGTGGTGCTGGGTGCCACAAAGGTGCCAGCCACCACATGTGGTGCTGAATATTAAGGTACTGACAAACACTGGATCTATATTATACAATACAACTCTAAGCCTGTTTGTTTTATTGTAATCCTCAAAAAAACATTTATAGGCCTATATGTAATGTAGTAATACATCACTAGGTCTTTTGTAGGTCTCCATTAATAATACATTAATAGGCCTATTGCAGCCCCATGATAATTGTACATCACTAAGTTTATTATAGTCAAATAACAGTACATCACTAGGCCTATTTTAGACCTACAGTAACAAGCATATGCTTAAAATAGAAGAGAAACCCAGTAATCCAAGCAAGTTATGTGCGTACTGGGGTACCGGGGTACTGGGGTATCAGGGCACGGGTACCAGGGTACTAGGATATCGGGGTACTAGGGTATCGGGGCACTAGGAGTACAAGGTACTGGGGTACGAGGTACTGGGGTCCGAGGTACTGGAACCACATGGGGGGTACGAAGGTACCGGGATTGGGTACAAAGGCTACCCCACTGGGATACGAGGTACGGGTACAAACTGGGTACTTTGTATACTTTACGAGATCTGGGGTCCGGTGTTGGGTACAGTTCCAGGGAAACTGGGGTTACAGGCCTAACTGAAGTAGCAGGACTCACAGGTCTCTGGGTCCCATAACTACTGATGTAACAGGCCTACGCGGCCCCTAGACTACTGGACCTCACTAGTTATGGTACGTAGTAATAACTGTACGATCAAAGGATATTGACCTACAGTACACGTGTGGTACTGGAGTACCAGGTACCAGACAAGGGTACTGGGTACGGTGGCACCGGGGTACTGGGTCACAAGGTACCAGGTACAGATAGGTCGGGTACAGGGTAGACCACGGTACGGGTGCCACTAGTGAGTACACAGGGTACTGGGGTACGAGGTACTGAGGTCCAGGGTACTGGACACAGGTACTGGGTACGAGGTAACCGGGTGGTATAGGTACTGGCATACCTGGCTTACTAGGATACAGGTACCGGGGTACCAAGTACGAGTATGGACATAGGTACGGTACTGGAGTACCAGGTACTGGGGTACATTAAGGTACGAGGTACCGGGTACTGAGATCACGAGGTACCGGGGTACATACGGGTATGTGTACGAGGTACCGGAGGTACTGGAGTACGAGGCCGTACCAGCAGGGTTACTGGAGTACGAGGTACCGGGGTACTGGTATCAGGCGGGTACCAGGTAGGTATGGGGTACTAGGTACGGGACTGAGTACAGGTACCGGGGTACTGAGTACGGGTACCGGGGGTACTGGGGTACGAGGTACCGGGTACTGGAGTACTGGGTACCGGGGTACTGGGTACGATCGGGTACCGGTGGGTACTGGTGGTACGGAGGGTACCGGGGGTACTGGGGTACGAGGTACCGGGGTACTGGAGTCGAGTACGGGTACGGAGTACGGTACTGGAGTACGAGTACGGGTACTGAGTACGAGGTACGAGGAGTACGAGGTACCGGGTACTGGAGTACGAGGTACCGGGGTACTGGAGTACGAGGTACTGGGGTACGAGGTACCGGGGTACTGGAGTACGAGGTACCGGGGTACTGGAGTACGAGGTACCGGGGTACTGGAGTACGAGGTACCGGGGTACTGGAGTACGAGGTACCGGGGTACTGGGTACGAGGTACCGGGGTACTGGAGTACGAGGTACTGGGGTACGAGGTACTGGGGTACGAGGTACCGGGGTACTGGGGTACGAGGTACCGGGGTACTGGAGTACGAGGTACCGGGGTACTGGGGTACGAGGTACCGGGGTACTGGGGTACGAGGTACCGGGGTACTGGAGTACGAGGTACCGGGGTACTGGAGTACGAGGTACTGGGGTACGAGGTACTGGGGTACGAGGTACCGGGGTACTGGGTACGAGGTACCGGGGTACTGGAGTACGAGGTACCGGGGTACTGGAGTACGAGGTACCGGGGTACTGGAGTACGAGGTACCGGGGTACTGGGTACGAGGTACCGGGGTACTGGGTACGAGGTACCGGGGTACTGGAGTACGAGGTACCGGGGTACTGGGGTACGAGGTACCGGGGTACTGGGGTACGAGGTACCGGGGTGGTACTGGGAGTACGAGGTACCGGGTACTGGGTACGAGGTACCGGGGTACTGGGGTACGAGGTACCGGGGTACTGGGGTACGAGGTACCGGGGTACTGGGGTACGAGGTACCGGGGTACTGGAGTACGAGGTACCGGGGTACTGGGGTACGAGGTACCGGGGTACTGGGGTACAGAGGTACGGGTACGAGTACCGGGTGGGTACGGGGGTACGAGGTACCGGGGTACTGGGTACGAGTACCGGGTGGTACGAGTACCGGGTACTGGAAGTACGGGTACTGGGGTACGAGGTACCGGGTACTGGGGTACGAGGTACCGGGTACTGGGTACGAGGTACCGGGGTACTGGGTACGGAGGGTACTGGGGTACGAGGTACCGGGGTACTGGGTACGAGTACGAGGGTACTGGGTACGAGGTACCGGGTACTGGGGTACGAGGTACCGGGGTACTGGGGTACGAGGTACCGGGGTACTGGGGTACGAGGTACCGGGGTACTGGGGTACGAGGTACCGGGGTACTGGGGTACGAGGTACTGGGGTACGAGGTACCGGGGTACTGGGGTACGAGGTACCGGGGTACTGGTGGTACTGGGGTACGAGGTACCGGGGTACTGGGGTACGAGGTACTGGGGTACGAGGTACCGGGGTACTGGGGTACGAGGTACTGGGGTACGAGGTACCGGGGTACTGGGGTACGAGGTACTGGGGTACGAGGTACCGGGGTACTGGGGTACGAGGTACCGGGGTACTGGGGTACGAGGTACCGGGGTACTGGGGTACGAGGTACCGGGGTACTGGGGTACGAGGTACCGGGGTACTGGGGTACGAGGTACCGGGGTACTGGGGTACGAGGTACCGGGGTACTGGGGTACGTAGTACTAATATAAGTAAGACTAATACTATGTTTACATCTTTAAAATTGAAAATGATGTAATGAATTTACAGAAGATGAAATGAAGATGTTGGTATTACTGCTGCAGTACTGTGATGACATGAAACACCAAGATGTTGGTATTACTGCTGCAGTACTGTGATGACATGAAACACCAAGATGTTGGTATTACTGCTGCAGTACTGTGATGACATGAAACACCAAGATGTTGGTATTACTGCTGCAGTTACTGTGATGACATGAAACACCAAGATGTTGGTAATTACTGCATGCAGTACTGTGATGACATGAAACACCAAGATGTTGGTATTACTGCTGCAGTACTGTGATGACATGAAACACCAAGATGTTGGTATTACTGCTGCAGTACTGTGATGACATGAAACACCAAGATGTTGGTATTACTGCTGCAGTACTGTGATGACATGAAACACCAAGATGTTGGTATTACTGCTGCAGTACTGTGATGACATGAAACACCAAGATGTTGGTATTACTGCTGCAGTACTGTGATGACATGAAACACCAAGATGTTGGTATTACTGCTGCAGTACTGTGATGACATGAAACACCAAGATGTTGGTATTACTGCTGCAGTACTGTGATGACATGAAACACCAAGATGTTGGTATTACTGCTGCAGTACTGTGATGACATGAAACACCAAGATGTTGGTATTACTGCTGCAGTACTGTGATGACATGAAACACCAAGATGTTGGTATTACTGCTGCAGTACTGTGATGACATGAAACACCAAGATGTTGGTATTACTGCTGCAGTACTGTGATGACATGAAACACCAAGATGTTGGTATTACTGCTGCAGTACTGTGATGACATGAAACACCAAGAGACGAAGCTGCCAGGAGCCGAGACTCGACACCTCTGCACTCACAACTAGGTGAATACAAGCCAGGCGATCACTTGTCCTTGTAGGCGCATGTTTCAAGGTGTTGACCCATGTCTCGCAGGAGGACCACTCTGGGGCAGCCCTTGGGTCCATGGTGGCACTGGACCGGGCGGTACACGCAAAAGTGCTCATGGTCAAGTTTGGCCTTAGGTGGATGGTATTCAGGGCATCCGTCAGATGCCCACCTGCATGGGAACTTCACTAGCTGGCACACCTGTGGGTATAAGAACAACCGATTAGCGACCATCATCAACACACCTGTGGGTATAAGAACAACCGGTTAGTGACCAGCATCAACACACCTGTGGGTATAAGAACAACCGGTTAGCGACCAGCATCAACACACCTGTGGGTACAAAAAACACTTAGCAATCAGCATCAACACAGATGCCCCTTTAAAGAGGCTGATACTCAGGAGATCCCTCAGATGCCCATCTGCACGGGAGCTTCATCCGTGGACCTCTTCAAGGGGGGCTCCTTGTTGTGGTGAAGAGGCTCTTGGTCTGAGGAATCAGACCTGTCGGTCTCCTTCCTCAGACCGAACCTAATTACCCCCAATCCCGTCCTCCCTATCCCATCCTCCCCTTTTTCCTTTCCTCCTCCTCCTCCCCACCCCTCCCTTTTGCCCTTCCTCTTTTTGGTCTTTGGGATTTCTCCCACAGGCACGCTAGTTCCCAGGTAGGGGAAAGGATACCGGGGTCCATCCCATTCCGTTGAGGTTCTTGGAGGTGGCGTAGTTTGCCGTGGAATCTGGATCGCAGTGGTGGCCGAAGGAGGTATGCTTTGTGGCAGATATCTGGCCGCCCTCTCTTTTGTCCACCGAGGTAGCTCGGCAGATGTGAGGTTGCTATCCCAGATTGCTGGTTTACTGGCATGAAGGGTAGGGTATGGCACGGGTTCCATGCTGCATCTGCGCTACTAGCGGTGCTGAGGTCCTCTTGGGCGCGGAGGGAGATTTCCGGCCCTTTCATTCCTCCTGGGAACTATTCCTCCCCGCTCCCCCCTTTTTTTATTCTTTTTTTTATTTTTATTTTATTTTCTTCTTTCTTTTTTTTCTTAAAAACAAAAAGCAAAGGAGTAACCTAACCATGGAGAACCTAATCCATGAACCCACTACCCCCAGGCCCCTTCTTGATACTGCACCCCATTCTGACCCTGCCTTGTTTTTAGACCACTCTTCGGACACTCCTGATGCCCCTGTACCTCTTGCTGGTGCTGTTTCCTCACCCGCTTCAGGTACCGGGGCTTCAACTGACTCCTTCGATTTGTCTGACCTCCGCTCTCCTTTGACTATGCTTCCGGCCTCTCCCTCTACGGTACGGCAATTTTCGAATCGCCAGCCCATTTCACGCCGGACCAACTCCGGTCCTACTCCTAAACGCCAACGTCAATCTCCTGATGATGCTCCTTCGTTACCTTCCCATTCTACTTGGAAAAGACCGACACATCATGCACTCCCTCTCCATGCTCAGTTTCGGACCACACAATGGACTAAATTCTTTACTTTAAGACCGACTTCTTCTGCCTATCTTTCTGACCATAGTATTGGCAAAGCCCTCCTGCGTCATGTTGGTAGAGATATTTCATTTCATGCTCTCAAGAGCGGTACGCGCATCGTCATTGTCCAGAATGCTACCCAAGCTCATGATCTTTCTCTCCTTTCGAATATCAATACTACTATCACTATTGAAAAACATCTTTCTATCAATTCTTGTAGTGGCACTGTCATTCTGCCCTGTACCATAGTCCAACAGAATTTCCAGTCATGTGGCATTGACATTCTTGAACAGCTGGAACTCCAGGATCTCCCAATCCTCAAAGTAGACACTTATGTCCTTCCTGCCCGTGGGCGGAGACGTTACCCTTGCAATGTGGCTCGATTAACTTTTGACAGCCAAGAACTCCCATCCTCTGTATATGTCGCGGGACATCAGTTACAAGTTAGAAAGGTGATATCTACACCGCAACAGTGTAGAAATTGCTGACGTTTTGGTCACCCAGCGAAATGTTGCAGATCTATAGCCGAATGCCCAGTCTGTGGTGCCGACGACCATTCTAATACATCTTGCAGTCAACCTCCATCTTGCCTTAATTGTAATGAAGCTCACCCTTCGTACTCCCACCATTGCCAGGTCTACTTAAATGAACGTGAAATCCGTTGCCTCAAAGAGGCAGAAGGTCTCCCTTATGCTGTGCCAGTTACTCATCTCCACCTCCAAGGGAGACTACCCCGTGTTTCTTATTCTCGTGTTTCAAAACATCCCCCCACTTCTGGGGTCCCATCTTCTGCAGCCTCCTCTGTTGTTACCCCTCCCACAGCCACTCCGGCATCTAATCCCTTTGCTGTCCTTGGCTCTGACGTCCCGACTACAACTCAGTCTGTTCTCACATCTTCGCGTCCTTCCTCACAAGCCCCAGTATCGACAAGACCTCGTACAACACCTTATACCAATCGCCCCTCTACTTCTCAGAAGTCCAAAAAATCCACATTGCTCAAATCTTCTTTGCCCCTTCCTTCCCTTCTTCCACCTCCACACTTTACCTTTCCAGTCTCTGAGCCTAGTTCTTCCCCTCTCTCTGGCTCTATTACAAGTGTGGAGATTCACCCTCCTCCTCGTACTATGCCTTCCACCCCCGTCCCCTCCCAAGTTTCTCCCTCTTCTGCCACCTCCCAGGTTTCTGCCTCTTCTGTCCCCCCCCACACTTCATCTCCAGTCCCTTACACTCTTTCGTCCCCCTCTACTTGGTACAGTCCATTACTGTCCCAATCTTTACTCACCCTCCCCTTTCTACCTCCAATATGGTCTCCCATACATCTTTGAATTCAGAAACACTTGAAGCCATTTCAGAATATATTGCAGAGACTAAACCTTCAATGGACACTGATTCACTTCCTGTTCCTTCTCTTCCCTCTCCTCCATCTTCACAACCCCATTCTTCACAACGCTCCGTTCCTTCGCTGCTTGAACGTTTTCCAATGCCACCACACGTTGACTTTTCTAACCCCTCTCATCCGTAGGTGCCTTTCCCTATGAATTCCTGGTATTTTCTTCATCGCCAATCATGGCCTATTTACAGTGGAATATCCGCGGCCTCAGGGGTAATCGGAGTGAGCTTCAGATGTTGCTTTCCAGGTTTTTCCCTGTTGGTGCTTGCTTACAAGAACCAAAATTACACTCAGCTGTTTTCCAACCTATCTCAGGCTATAATTTATTGTATTCTTCGGATCCTTTCTCAGATGGGACCTTTAATGGAAGTGCCCTTCTTCTACACAATGATATTCCGTATTGTCAACTATTTGTCCATACCTCGCTGCATTACACTGCAGCCCGTATCCCCTTGAATAAGTGGTTTACAATTTGTTCTTTATATCTCTCTCCTTCTCGGGCATTTTATATCCCAGACTTTGCCTTTCTTGTTTCATCCTTACCACCACCACTTCTGTTACTTGGTGATTTTAACGCCCACCATTTCCTCTGGGGGGGGGTCTCATTGTGACTCACGTGGCATCCAGTTGGAGGCTTTTCTCGCCTCTCACCCCCTCCATGTTTTAAATACGGGTACTCCCACCCATTTTGATCCTCGTACTCATACTCTCTCTTGCATCGATCTATCAGTCTGCTCTTCCTCCACTACACTAGACTTCACCTGGTCTATTCTACCTGACTTACATGACAGCGATCATTTTCGAATCATTCTTACTTCTCCTTCATATTCACCACCTTTCCGTAGCCCTCGCTGGCAATTTGATCGGGCAAATTGGGACCTTTACTCACAGCTCACTGCTTTTAGTGAGGTTCCTTCTTCATCCTCCATTGATGAGCTCCTACACCTCTTCTCGACGTCAGTTTATACTGCAGCTTCTCATTCTATACCCCAAACCTCAGGCAAGCATTCTCAGAAGTGCATGCCTTGGTGGTCTCCTGCTTGTGCTTGTGCAGTACGTTTGAAATGCGCTGCATGGGGCAGGTACCGATACAATAGAACCAATGAGAGACTTCTTGATTTTAAGCAGAAGCGTGCGATCACTCGCCGTGTCATCCGTGATGCTAAACGCACTTGCTGGCGAGACTATGTTTCCACCATCACCTCTGCTTCCTCTATGAATGCAGTCTGGAAAAAAGTGAGGAAATTGAGTGGTAAATACTCTCCTGACCCGGCTCCTGTTCTACGGGTCGCCGGTATTGATGTAGCAAACCGTCTTGACGTTGCCATTGAAATTGGCACTCATCTGGTCCATATTTCCCAGGGGCTCCATCTATGCCCCTCGTTTCTTTCCTCAAAGTCTGCCAGAGAGTTAGTACCCTTGGACTTTTCTTCTCTCAGAGAAGAACAGTATAATGTGCCTTTTACACTCCAGGAACTGGAGGCAACACTCTCAGCTTGCCGATCATCGGCAGCTGGACCTGACGACATTCATATTCGCATGTTACAACATTTACATCAGTCAGCCCTTGTAATCCTCTTACACCTCTTCAATCTTATTTGGGCACAAGGAGTTCTTCCCCAGCTGTGGAAATCTGCCATTGTTCTCCCTTTCCGCAAGCCGGGTACTACAGGACATGATGCCTCCCACTATCGCCCCATCGCTCTTACTAGTGCAGTTTGCAAAGTTATGGAACGTCTGATAAATCGCCGTTTAATGTGGTATTTAGAGACACACAACAGTCTCTCCGCTAGTCAATATGGCTTTCGTAAGGGCCGTTCTACCATAGACCCGTTACTACGCTTGGATACGTATGTTCGTAATGCCTTTGCAAATAATCACTCAGTTATTGCCATATTTTTTGACCTTGAGAAGGCATATGACACAACTTGGAGGTGTAATATTTTGGCCCAAGCCCACTCCTTAGGCCTCCAAGGGAATCTACCATCCTTCCTTAAGAACTTTTTAACTGACAGACACTTCCGTGTTCGAGTCAATAATGTGCTTTCCCCGGACTTTATCCAAGCTGAAGGTGTCCCTCAGGGATGTGTTCTGAGCACAACACTTTTTCTCCTTGCTATAAATGATTTGACCTCTGTTCTTCCACCCAATATTTGGTCATCACTCTATGTTGATGACTTCGCTATTGCCTGTGCAGGTGCTGACTGTCATCTCATTGCAGTTTCTTTCCAGCATGCGGTCGACTGTGTTTCCACTTGGGCCACCACGCATGGGTTTAAATTTTCCAGTACCAAAACTCACCAAATTACTTTCACTAGACGCTCTGT